TATATATATGGGGAATGCTAATATACTCCCACTAAAAATAGGTGGGAGTATGTTAGCAACCTATACCAAATTTTTAGGACAAAAAAATCACTCATTTCTTTTGATTTGGTTAATTTGTATAAATGATATAATAGTAATTTAATTTAATTTTAAATGAAAAATAAAATATTTTCTCTCTCTTATTAATTTCTTTCACTGAGTCATTTCTCTCTCCTATTAAATTCCTTCTTAACCCATTTCTCTTTCTTATTAAATTCTTTCTCTAACTTATTTATCTCTCTCCTATTAAATTCTTTCTTTAACTCATTTCTCTCTCATATCTCATGATGTCTCCCCCTCTCTTTCTCTGAACAAATAAAAATTAATTAATAGAAAAAAGAAATAACTTAGTAAATGAAGTTAATAAGAGAGAGAAAATATTTTATTTTCTTTTAAAATTAAATTAAGTTACTATAATATCCTTTGTACGAATTAACCAAATAAAAAAAATGAGTAGTTTTTTTGTCCTAAAGTTTTGGTGTAGGTTGCTAACATACTCCCGCTAAAAAATAGATAGGAGTATATTATAGAAAATGATTAATCATTGATATTATTATTATATTATTTATTATTTTTTTAAATATAATGTGTTTGGCCACGTCCAGTGAGGATAGAGTAATTTTTTATCGTCAATTTTGGATTACTATATTTATCCTATTTATGGACATAAAATTCCCTAAATATTGTAACTTTTTTTTATAAAAAGAATAAGTAAAAAATATGACATTTTAAAAATAAATGAGAAAGTACTCAGTAAACAAAACAAACGAAAGGCAAATGGAAAAATGATATAAGGGAAAAATCATAAGAACTTACATACAATTAAGATTTAATTGTTGTACGAATAAAATTTCATTTTACTATCAGTGAAAATTGTAGTGACCTCCTTTGAGATCTTTTTAGATTAAATGTATCTTTTTTAATTTTTAAAATAAATATTAAAAAATTATTTATTTATTTAAATAATACATATTTTTATATATAAGATAATATTATTTATGTACTATTAAGAAAGAATAAATTATTAATATAAGTGCTAATAATTAATGAAACTTAATCTTTTACTTAATTTTAACTTCTAAATTATATTATAAATATTATGTGCATTATGATTTAAAAAATATATCAACTGTATTAAGTAATTTTAAAGAACAAATTAAGAAATTATTAATTTCAAAATTGAAGAATAATAAGTTTTTTTATAAAAAGAATAGCATTCTACATAATTCAAAAATATATAATAAATGTATATATGATTGACAGAATACGACTTAACATTTCTTTTTTTTCTTTTTTTTATTTTAACTTATGATATTATTTTAAGTGAGGTAAGTGATTTAAAAAAAATAGAAAAGATATGTGTGTTATTTAAACATACTTCAGAGGAAGGTAAATGTAATTTTCCCTTGCTATTAATATTTTCGCTGTTTCTTTATTTATTTTCCATTTTGTTTTATTTCTTTCTGATTTTTCCCTGCCTGCATTTGTTATGTTTATATTCTGATATAGACATATCATTTGGTAACATCTGCAGATTGTAGTAACCTCGACCTGGGAATTGTTGTGGCTGGAGCAGAACATCTACAACCACTTGGCAGTAAGTTTTTTAAATGATTTAGTTCCTATTCTTATATTTGAAAATTATTTAATTTTAATTAGTGACAACATTTGGACATGTTAATTACCAATACTAATGGAGATATAACATTTTAGCTAGGTTTTCTCTAGCTAATTATTTTCAAGTTATTGTAATTATCTTTTATGTTTTTAGTTTAGGGATGAAACTTCGAGCACATTTATACGTTGGATTAAATCTCAAGTCGAAAAAAAAAATTACATTGCATGGTGACAATTGATCTAAATACAATACGTTTACTTGTCGACAAAGTGTGACTGACATTAGTAAATTACCTTATTTTTTAAGCGTGTGCTTAGGAGTTGGATTCTTAGTTAGGAATAATAATAAACACGAGCGAAAAAAAAAACTAAAATGAATTGAACATTTAATAATAAAAAAACTAAATTGAACAAATTAAATAAAAAAAACTTAAATATTTTTTATTCTCTTAAATTTAAGATAAATATGTTTTGAATCTCTCAAATTTAAAATTAATTTTTTAGTTCTTATAATTCAAAACATATTTTAATTCTTATACTCAATTTTTTTTAGAAAATTTGTCAAATATTATTGTAACAAATCTATTATAAGTATCTTTGTTGGTGAAAATATAATATTAAACCTAGCTGATATTGTATAATTATCTTAATTTATCACTTTCAGGTATATTATTAGTGATTAGAGGAACTAAAATAAAATTTTTTAAAATTACATAGACTAAAAAAATAGTTTTTAAATTTGAGGAACTAAAAAAAATTACCTTAAATTTGAAGGACTAAAAACATATTTAAACTTAAAAAAAGATAAAAAGATTAATTTAGCCAAAGATTTTAATTATTCAAATAAAAGGTAAAATATAAAATATTTAATATCTAATAAAAAGTAAAACTATATATTGAATACAACAAATTTTAATTATTTTTAAAGCTATTATATATATATATAAGGCATTTTTTGGTTCTTACCGGATTAACACATTCTTAATTCGATTCTCCATATTTAGGAACTACATATAATGTTTGTTACATCTATAAAGATTAAATTAATAATGTGTAATGAAGTTAACCATGTTGAAAATTACGTCAATAACATATAACAAGTATAGAGACTCATTCAAAGACTAAATTGAGAATGTATTATACGTGTAAGAACTAAATTATATATTTAACTAACTTTTCTCTCCTTATTAAAAAAAAAAAAAAAAAGTTGGACTCCTCCATCCCTTTAATGGAATAATTTTGTAGGAAATATGAGCTAACCTATTTATAAAAATCTATGTTTGTTGTTAATATATATATAAACAAAATCTCCTTTTATTATATAGTGATAGTATATATTGTTCTTTCTATAATACAGGAGTTGACATATTTTATCTGATGTCATGAAATGCTTTTAAATAATTTAATTCCAAGTAATGTTAATTCTATTCGAGCGCAGTATTTCTTTTGACAAAAATAAATAAATTATATAAGGTACGACCCATACAAAACGAGAATCAATAACTAGTTAAACATAGTATAATAAAGGCTTAAATATATTTTTAATCTCTTAAATTTAAGATAAATTTATTTTTTGTCTCTCAAATTTAAAATTAATATTTTTAGTCTCTGTAATTTTAAAAAATCTTATTTTATTTTTTATATTTAAATTTTGTTAAAAAATTTATCAAATATTATTACATAAAATTTATCTATTGGTGTCTTTAGTAGTAAAAATATCACATTAAATCTAATTAATATTACATAACCGTCTTAATTTGTTACTTTCAAGTATATATTATTGGTGATTTAAAAGACTAAAATAAGATTTTTGAAAATTATAGAACTAAAAATATCAATTTTAAATTTGAGAGACAAAAAATAAATTTATTTTAAATTTGAGAGATAAAAAACATTTAAAATATCATCACTTGTCAGTCATGAATACTGACCAAAATTGTATTTAATTAACTAATATTAACATATTTTCAGTGTCTTATTTAAAAAGTTGAAGGGAAAAAAAGAAAAAATAAAGCATGCGTGTAAATGTAATATATATATATATTGAAACTACAGTTACATAAAAGTTATTAAACAAGGTGACAACGTATTGATGTTAAACATTTGTTATAATCAGAGAAAATATTTAACCACAAATGACCATGATAAGTTATTTACTTTTATAACCAAAAAAATTATATTATTTGGACGGTAAATTGAAATGAACTAATGTTGATCTAAAATTGTTATCGTATTGAATATATGAACTTCATTTCTGATTGTATATGTAATATGGTGCAGGAGGTCAGAAAAGGAAAATATATATGGCAGCTGCTTCAGGAAAATGGAGTGAGGCTTTCGAAATCAATCCTGATTTGTTGGGAATTCCATTGACTTCTCGTGGAAATACAGCCCTTCACGTTGCAGTTAGCATGGATCAAACAAGTTTTGTTGAAAAGTTGGTGAATTGTATGAACATGCAAGATATCGAAATTTGCATGGCAGATGGGAACACAGCCTTTTGTTTGGCTGCGATTTCTGGAAACGTAAAAATAGCTGAAATACTGTTTGGCAAGAATCCAAAGTTGTTATGTATGAGAGGGCACAATGATATGCTGCCAATTCAATTAGCATCTTCTGCAGGGCATATTCCCATGACAGAATTTTTATTTCAAGCTACAGATGACCTACACAATATTCTACCCTTCCCAGACATCGTGAAGCTATTTTTCATGACCATCACCAACAACATTTTCAGTAAGCTCATTTTCACTTTTCTCTACACAGTCACGCTTTCATTTGATTTGTATATTTGTTATATATTCATCCATTTTTCTCTTGTCTAATGACATCATTTATATGTTTTTCATCTGATTCTGGGCATTAATTACAGCCGTTGCATCAAAATTGTTGGATAGCTATCCAAAATTGGTTACCATAGAAAATGAAGAGGGGTTGACTACTTTGCAAATGCTTGCTCAATTTTGTGAGTTCTCCTGATCCTTATAAATTTGGTTTTTCTACTTCAAAAATGTTATTTTTAATTAGGAATGAAAATAAGTATCACAGTTTCACATGGACATATGATACTTTCATAAGATTTCGACAAAATTATTTTTAAAAAATAAGTCGGACCAAAACTTTAATTAAAAAAGTCAAATTTTAAATCATTTAAATACTCTTTTAAACTTAACATACCAACTTATTTAAATAATTTAAATAAATATTTATTTTTGTTAAGCACTGTGATTTATAAAAAAATTAAAAAAAAATTAAAAAAAGAGTAAAACTCATAAATTTTATAAAAAGTCAATTTATGTATATTTATAAGTTTTGTGGCAAAATAAAAAAAGACTTATTACAAAATATATTTTTAAATAAGTTATCTATTATCATTATGAATGTTAGATTTAAGGGTTTAGAATTTAGAATTTATTAAAAAGTTAATTCATGTCATAATTTAAGTCTTAATGTATAAGAATTTTTTTTTATTACAAAATATATTTTTAAATAAGTTATCTATTATCATTATAAATGTTAAATTAAGAGTCTGTTTGCTTAAAATTAAAATATATTTTTAAATACATAACTCTTTAAGAAGTAGGTAAAAATTGTTTATTAATTAAAAAAAGTAAAAAGTGCTTATTTTATTAAAAAAATTATAGAAAAAATTTAAATAACCGAACCCAAATAAAAAAAATGCTTATATTCACATAAATAAGTTAAATTCAATAAGGATAAAAACTTAACATATCTGATAGTATAAATTGCAGAAAGAAAGGTGGAAAAAAACGCAAAGTAAAAACCTATAGATTTGAATGGAAGTGCTTAAAAGAAATATGATGTTTATTGTCATCTTAATTATAATATGAATTAATAGTTCATTGGCTACATACTTTTAACATTTTGTATGTTGTAATCAAGATTGAAAAACATTTTTTTAACAATTATATATCAGCAGAAATTATGATCTAAAAAATATTCACTAAAGTATAATAAAAGTACAAACTTTTATTTATTTATTTAGTTATATATATATATATAGAGAGAGAGAGAGGAAGAATTTATTTATTCACGAGTAAGTTTACCTAGACTGACTTTGTTAAATAATTAATGTTTTACATCAAATTTTAACGATCCAACCATTAAATTAAAACTCTTAATGCATAAATTAAATTTGTAAATTTTTAAAAAATTTGAAAACTATTTGATATTTCGTTTCATTACTTTAAATCAATATATAAAATGATTTTATGATTATCCATCAATTTGAATTAATAAAACGGAGTATCAAATAATTTTTAAATTTTTAAAAATTTACAGACTTGATCTATGCATTAAGAACTTTAAATTCAACGGTTGGATTGTTGAAATTTGATGTGGAACATGAGTTATTGAACGGAATAAGTTTAGGTATTACTCCTAGAATAAACGGATCCTTTATATATATATATATATATAT